CCCATAACATAAATATTTATGGGCAAATAGAAATAAAAGTATAAAAATAAATCATGCACCGGTCCCTGGTAAAATTGCGAAACTTGTTCACCGGTCCGCCAAACTTAAAAGTTTGGGAACCACTTGCCTAGAGGGTGTCAGGATGTTCACGGGGAAGTCTAGATGGTGTAAGGGTGCTCATGTGGCAGTCTCATTAAGGCTATACTGATTTCACATGATCTGCAGTGTCCGTGCCTTCACGAGACATGAGCTTTCAAAATCCTTTCTACTAACTTCGTTTTTGTGGGTTTACGGCCAAATCTTCGAACGGCAAATTGACCCACTTCCTATAAACCTATCCAGCTGAAATTTGGTACACAGATTCCTTGCTAAAGACAACACATTCTTTCATATTGTCAGCCCCACCCCAAACCCCAACTTCTAAAAATCCGTTGTTTTTTTCAAGGTAAAGGAGAAGGAAATATGATGACACTAATTTCATTAAGTAAAATTGCCGATGACTGCGCTAAATGAGATTCTTTAAAAAAAAATAAAGCAACTGCATTTGGTGCGTAATATTTTCTCGGCGTCTTTGAAAATAAGGAAATGTAATTTATAACTGTCGAGTTGAATGTTTCAATAACAAAAAAATAAATTTTTTGTTTCATTATTTATACACTAATGAATTAAATAAAATCTGCACGCCTTAACAACAATAACAAAATATAAAAAATTTACCAGCCATAAAATTTAAAATATAGTAACGATCTTCCCTTGAGAGGTGATGGTCGTATTGAGGTCATCAAGGGATGGAGCCGCCTGGGTGAGTACTGCTGGATGAATCATTAGGGACGCCCAACGCTCTGAGGGCAGGTCACGTGATTCGCCTCCGATTACCCGTTGACATAATGATGTGTTCGGGACATCAGGCAGTTACGTACGAGCTTGGACGTTTAAGGTTTTAAACCCACCCACACCACACTCCCCTCCCCCCTCCCCCCACACACACACACCAAACACACCCAGAAATTAGGGCCGCCATTGTTTTGAAATGAAATTTACGTACAACAGTCACCTGAACTCGACACCGATGTATTTACAACAAGAACAGACCAGAGGCGGATCCAGAACTATCATTAGGGCAGGTGGCACAAACATACATATAACAGGAAGTCGTGCAGCAGAAGTAACAAACAAAAAAAAAAAACAAAAAAATGCTGTTAAGAATTGCTCACGATGAAAGCTTTTTAAAGAAAATATGGGTCTTCAATTTATTGAATAATTACAGTATTTTATTTTCCTTCTATTTACCAATTTATTATATATATATATATATATATATA